ACTTTTGTATTATTTAATACCCGCATTGTAACTTTTCATTTATTTTATCAATTTAATTAAATACAATTTTTCAAACATTTCAATTTCCTCAAAAATATTTTCTTAAGTAGACTTTCCTAAACTTCTTCAGTTTGATACCCATATTGCAATATTTAATTTATCTCATCAATAAAATTAAATTAAAATTTTCAAACATGTGGCAACCTCCACAAAGGTATTTTCGGCTGTAAGCCTTCTTAAACCTCTTTACTTAAACTGGAAGTTTCAAATAGGTGGCAAATCTTCAACTTTTGTCTTTGCATATTTTAAGGTAGACCCCTATCAATACATCGGTGAAAACTGCATTCAATTGCATGCATTAGTTTTCGAGTGAAGCGCGTACAACACATAAGGAAAATATGATAGATAAAATCGTCAAAACGTCAGGGTATGCATATTTTTGACGCTTTTCATTTATTCAAAACAACTCGGACAAAAGATTATTAAAGTGACAAAAAATAAAACTAAACAACAGAAAAAAATAGTGGAAAAAATTAAAGGAAGATTAATTAAAAAAAAAATAGATTAAGAAAAAATTATAAAATATGTTTCTAAAAATTTTATGAAAATAAAACTGTGCTTTTTTAACTAAATACAATACAAAAATTAAAAGAAAATTCGATTTAAATCAAATACCTTTCTAAAACTTAAATAAAATAAAAAACAAATATTTTTCTTTTCGGCAGCAAGATAATTAATTTAAAAAAAAGAAAATAATTCCGAAGCCCGAGGATTCTAACCACCGATCTCGCGAGTTCCTTGCTCACTCGGCTATTGAAACAGCGCAAGCAAAATTATAAACATCTCCATTTGAAACATGCGCAAGGGCTTTCTGTCAAAAGAGCTTTTCAGCATGAAAGTTGACAAGAGAGCTGTTTTTGTAAGACTTTCGTGCCAGAATAAACAAAGTAACGCCTTGTGTCTTTCAATCGTCTTACGAAAGACTTTCAATTATCTCTGCTACAATTTCCTTGTTAGTTTGAAAAATCTTAACCACCTCAAGCGGAATCGAACCTGCAATCTCAGAACCGGAAGCGGTAATCTTCACGAAAAGCCACAGCCGACATTTGCAAGAAAAGCATTTTAGTTTTGATTTTGGCAATTCAAAGACAATCAAAGAACTGGTAATTTTTCTGACTGGTTTTGGCTTTTCACTGCAGGGTGTATTATGGACAAGTATTTATGTATGTATATCTGTTTGAATGCTTGTAAGCGTATTTGTACACTTGATCAGCCTGATTGGCCATATGTTGCCTGTTGCGAGCTGCTTGTCGTTGGTCATGCAGGATAAAACCTTCTTTTTTTCCCCGAAAAAGTAAATGATGAAAAATTGCCAAGCTGATATGTAGGCAACAAATGGATGTATTTCTAGCAGAAAATTTTCTGTTGTATTCTTTGTGGGTTTTACTATTTTGCTTGTTGCTCGCATACCAGATTTTTGATAGTTAGGCCGCATTAGCGATAAGAATTTGTCAGCCAACGAAAGGGAAACATAAATTTTCTTCGATAAGTATGTACACTAAAGTGGTTCAAAAATGTATGTAAAAAAAATAAGGTCGCATTTTTAAAGCCGCCAGCCCCTAGGATTGTTCTATACCAAAAAAAAAATATACCCCTATTTTTTTATTTTGAAAAAAAGAACAAATTAGGGTGTGCTCAAAGCGCTCAAAGTTTTCAATGTACTTTATATGGGGAAAATACAACTTTTCGTAGAAATAGTGTAGAATTCTTGAAAATCAATATTTTTCGATCGGAAAAGTTTGCTTATCTTCATGAGATTCCCAGTCATAATACCCAATTGTTCCTTTAACCATTTTTTCATGGTAACTATATTTTATAGGTCCTGGAAAATGCAATGGGGGGACCAATAAAAAATCTTTAATCATAGAAAATGGTTAAATAAACAACTGGATATTAATATTTGAAGTCTCCTGAAGAGAACCACGGTTTTACGATTGTAAGATATTGATTTTCAAGAGTTTTATACCATTTTTACGAAAATTTGTTTTTTCCCCATATAAAATACATGGACAACTTTGAGCGCAGTGAGCACTCCCTAAATATTTTTTGATTTCAAAATGAAAAAATATGGGTATATTTATTTTCGGTACAGAACAATCCTAGGGGGTGGTGGCATTAAAATTCCGACTTTATTGTTTTGGACCACTCTAATGTACACTGGCGATCAACATTTTTTCTAAAAATTCCGAATAAAAAGTTCAAAATTTAGATGAAAGTTTGTTTAATTTTTCTAAGTTCTGTATAATGTTTAAGAGTTTGACTTATGTGGTTTTGATTAAAGCATGAACCATATTTTTATAAAATAACAAAAAAATTAGCTTTAAAAACATTGCAAATATTAAACAACAAACACCATGTACTCACTTTTGATCGCCATTGTAGGTTAATAAAAACATATACATTCCTGGTGAAGAATTTCACTGCAAGCCTGCCAGAATGTTGCGTGAAAAAATCATGTACATATGTACGTAAAATCGGAGTTGATACTAGACACTGGTGCCATTGTGTAAGTCGGTTTTTTCCCTTCGCGACAAAATTTAACTTGCCTTGAAATCTTAGATAGATAGCTTTTGATGAGCTACGATTGTTTTACATGTTCCTTGAGGCGTCCTGACCTTCACTGCAGGCTCTACATAAAATATATTTTAGATTGCTCTTTTGTTCGCTGCAGCCTGTCCTGCATAGACGTAGTTATGGTGATGCGTCACAAGACTACAGCCGCCTAGATGATTTTTCGATAGCATCGTGCGGGATTTAATTTTACATACAATGTTTATGCGCGACTGCTAACACCGGGCACCTAAATGCATGCTATGTACTGCTGCATTTGCAAAAATTTCCTTTATGCAATTTATGAAATTTTTGCACATGCACTTCTCAACTGCCATGTAATTGAACTTTCTTAAGTTTTGTTTAGCACTTCAAAGTATGCTCTGCCTAGTCGGAAGCATTCTCCGAACACTGTAGAGGTCGTAAACGAACTTTGCCATTGGCCGCAGTGCCTACCCACCTTTTTGATCATACTAATATTTTTTTATATAAATACATTAGGGTGGCCCTTAAAATTAAATTTTAAGTCTCACCCACTCAGTCGCTAATACAACGGTCAAAGGTATAACGTATAAATTTTAGTCCCGATTGTAGACGGTTAAGGCGTGTCGCGCAGGGGTCAAAGTTCAGATTCCTCTATGGAGACTCAAAAAATTTAAATAAATTTTTTTTTTTCATCTAATACTACCCTAGGCGCAGATATCACGTATAAATTTTGGTCCCGATTGGAGTCGGCTAAGGCGTGTTGCACAGGGGTCAAAGTTCAGATTCTCCTATGGAGACTCAAAAAATTTAAATTAATTTTTTTTTTACACCTTACCCTACTCAAATCGGGACCAAAATTTATATTTGACATCGATGTTAGTAGTATCGATTTTAGGTATTAGATGAAAAAATATTAATTTAAATTTTTTGAGTCTCCATAGAGGAATCTGAACTTTGACCCCTGTGCGACACGCCTAAACCGTCTCCGATCGGGACCAAAATTTGTGTGTGATATCTTTGACTATATTAGCATCGATGTCGGGCTTGAGGAAATCTGATGTAATAATGTACTTAATACATTTAAGGACCACCCTAAAATACATACATGCAAACATACTGGGCTCCCACCTCACTGAGTTATTCATGCAATAAATCCAATTTATTCGCCAATTTAAAGACAAAAATAGTAAAGGATTTTGAAATTTCAAAAATGTTATTAATTCAAAAAACCATAAAAAATGCAGTGCACTATAAAAATATAGTTATCAAATAAAAGTAAAATGCTGTAGATTAAAAAATATTCTAAAATAAATTTCTTTTAACATTTAATCCTGGAATATCATTTAAAATTTTTGTATTTATTTTTGTAACAATTATACCTATTCATCCTTGCGAACCAAAAAACTTCAACTTTTTTAATTCGACGGAATATTCCCTTTCATTTGGCACCGATATTGTTATTGTACGTTGTATTAAACTCTTAAAATTATTATATTTATTAAAAGAATATATTAGAAATTTCAAGGTAATTTAAAAAAATCCTGGCGCCGAGAGCCGACTATACCCAAATCACCAAAGCTGGTTGTAGACTTAATGTTCCCGGATACTGCCTAAAACCTTAGAATGCGCAGTTTAACTGTGGGAAGATTCTGTTATGAGTTAAGAGGCAATTATCGTATCGCTATCGCAACCGTCGACATTCTAGCTGGTTAGAGAATATCTCCCCCTGCCAGCTTAAGACCTATCGTTGTCTTGCTTGCAGTGTCAGCCCGATCCTATCCAGGTTCACCTGGTCTTTTTACGCAGACCTCCTAAGAAATCCTCTTTGATTGATAAAAGTTACGAAAATCTTCTTACAAGGTACAGAGCTGTTGAACAGGCTACTGGATATGGATGGAAAAAATTGAGGTTGGAAAAGATTTCCTGACAGTAAGCACCTCTTCTAACTCTAACGTTAAACAACGATCCTTTCGTGAAAATATGTATTTGCTCCCTCACTAGACCCCAAGACTGTAAAGCTTGTCGAAACTCCGTAGGCCGCGGTTGAAGGAACTATGTACATATGTACGTGCTCCAAATTCGACGCAGTATTGTATTGCAGATTGTTGCCGTCATAAAATATTTACAAATATCCTGTAGGATTTACGAAGACCGGATCACGTAAAAGAGCACTTACTCTAAGCCGGTTATTTAGGTAAAGATCCAAGTTTGAAAAATTCCATCTAATACAAAGACTTTCAAGTAATTCTTCTTTGCATACGTTAAAACAAAACCTCTTAAATAAGCTTTATTAGAGAACAAATTTATACTAAGCTCAAGGCAGGATATTTTTAATTATTAGTGCAAAAGTTAAACTTTCTTTAAAGCAAAAAAAAATAAATATTTTCTCTTCTCTTCATTTGCAGTTCATCCGTTGGTTCAAGTTCCAAATCAATTGGTTGGTGCGCCCGTTTTAACCGATGTCACATTGGTGTGCAATGTGGAAGCATCACCGAAAGCCATCAACTATTGGCAACGTGAAAATGGTAAGCAAGTAATGCGAAATAACAAAAGCGCAAACACACAAGAGAGACTTAACACAAAGCAAGATTTAAAGTTTTACAACTGCGAATCGAAATGGCAAGCGCCAGTAAAAACAGCAACTGAAAATCACAATCACCAAATAAATTTGAGAACTGAGAAAAAGTGCAACTTGCAATCTGCCAACTTGACGCTAGAAACAATTTGCAGCTTATTGACTTCGTGCCAACGAATAAATGAAGTTGCAACGTGCAATTTTCGGCACTCCAACACTTGAATGAACGACTGAGTGAGTGAGTGAGTGACTGCTTTCATGAACTGACCTGACCGACTATTCACTTGCCACACTGGTCCCTATTGCTGAGTGTCATGCTATTTTCTACGTGACAGTTCATTCTTACCCAAAAAAAAAAGTGGCAAAAAGTCTAGCCCATTCAACTGACACGCAGCAACATTGTCAAGGCACATTTTTTAGTACTCTATTCGAATGTGTCCCACTGGCCTGTGTGGTCGGTTTTTTTTTATTCTCTTTAGTAGAGCGAGAGTTTTGCTTTGGCCAACATTTTCTTAGATTTATCAAACAATGCTTAGCACGTTTTTAAATTAATTTTTTTTGTTTTTTTTTTTTGATATCTACTTTTATTTTTCAGGTGAAATGATTATCGCCGGCGATCGGTATATGCTCACTGAGAAGGAAAACAATATGTACGCAATAGAGATGATTTTGCATATAAGACGCTTGCAAACTAGTGATTTCGGTGGCTATAAATGCATATCAAAGAACAGTATTGGCGATACGGAGGGCACGATACGACTGTATGGTAAGCACCAAAGAAAAACGTAATTTGTTTGCTAAAATCAAAGACTCTTTACGAATAGGTACTTGCAGTGACTTACGTTAAGGCTTGTTTGTTTATGCAACTTACGCTATTTGAACCGAAATATTTTTCATTATGGAGTACTTGCCAATTTTAAGGCTAGCTAATACGTGTCTGTTTTTTAGCTTTTTTTATAAAACCTGAAAACCGTACGTTTTAACTCATTTTTTTTAATATCCCTCAAAACCCACTTCCTATAAGCTTCAAATAATCCGAAAATTCAGAAGAGCTGTTGGGGGAACAGGTTTAGTGTGCTCAAATTGAAGCAATGCTATGCAGAACATCGCAAGCCCAGTTGAAGTTGTGTTCTTTAGCTAAGCTTTTTGTCACGGCAGAAATAGAGGGAGATTTGGTGTGGCTATTCCCACTTATTCTATTTAAGGGCTCCCTGAAGTCAGCAGCGTCTATTGACTAGTATATAAGTGCGGCTGCAAGCGGTCGTCTATTTATCTTGGAACAAATTGATCAATACAAAATGTGTATCTTTTAAAATCCCTTAGCAATGGATTGTACTTTAGGCTTACGATTCGCCAACCAAAAACAACCTCAAATGATAATATCAAATGTGCCGCGGATAATTATATACCTCAACGGCGACGACCCTGCAAACGAAACAAGGACTACGATATTCGAATATGCATCTGGAATGTCCGGCCCCTATATTATGAAGAAATAGAATGGTGAAGTCATGGCAGTTCTAGATTTCTTATTAGGCGGATGAATGCCTAAATTGAACAATATCAGCCTAATTTGTGTGAACGCCCCAACAAAGGAGGAGCATGAGACCAAGCGTTACAATGAGCGCTTGGGAGAAGCATAAGTGCGCTGCCCCTGCCTCGACGTTAAACTCACACTTGGTGGCATTACCGACAGGGTTTGCAAAGAAGGCATATTTGACCCAACAATCGGAAACCGTAACAAAACCCCTCTCCACGGCAAATGACTTCGACTTCGCCGTCAGCAGTACCAGACATAGGGTGGTCCAAACAAGTAAAGTCGGAATTTTAATGCTCTCACCCCCTAAGGTTGTTCTGTGTCTTAAAATATACCCCTATTTGTCTATTTTGAAACCAAAAAATATTTCGAGATCGCTCAAAGTTTTCCATTTTTTACAGAAATGGTACAGAATACTTCAAAATCAATATTTAACCAATTTCTTCACCAGACTTCCGGAGAAACAGAGTTTTCCGATCATAAAGTATTGATTTTCAAGAATTCTATACCATATCTACGAAAAATGGTTTTTCCCCATATAAAATACATGGAAAACTTTTTCGATATAGAACAATCCTCGAGCGTGAGAGCGTTAAAACTCAGACTTCATTATTTTCACATGGATTTTGGGATCGCCCAAGTGCACACTATCGGAACATTACCAAAGCCTAAGAAAATTGGCGAACAAGAACAATTATACGATTCGTAATTCGCTCTCTAAGTAATTCGTGCATTACCCTGTTTCCGCGACACACATTCGTAATTCGTTTGGCAGCTCTACTTCTTGTTCTTCTTCTTCGCTATTTATTATTATTTCTGTGTACAGCAAATATCGAGAATGGAGCAAAAATTTAAGTTATTATAAAATTTTAATTCATATAGAGGATATTTTATTGATAAATTTTGCAGCAGCTAGAAAAAGTGCCAGCAAATGGAACCAGGCCGTGAAAACTTCAATATATTTCCGATAAATATTAGAGAAGGCACCGATTCATTCGTCATTCGCATGGTAATTTGGTCTGAATTACCTACAAATGAGGTAATTCGCTCTCAAAATTTTGTATGGCGAATTATGTAATTCGAAGGGTAATTGGATGGCGAATGACGAAAAGGAGAGCGAATTACGAATCGTAGAAACGTCGTATTAGAATATTCCACAAGTGAATTTGTGAAAAAAACGAATGCAGCTAAACAACTGCGACTTGTTTCATTTGCATCCACTGGATACATTTAAGGGCCGCAGAAGAGTAAACATCGATTTTTTCAACCCGTATCTCCCTTTTAACTTTCCCTGATATTTCTTTTTTCATTTTCCTTTTTATTAATACCAATGTTTTGAATTCTCTTTACAGAAATGGAAAGGCCAGGAAAGAAAAATCAGCGGGAGGATGATAATGAAGTCACGGTAAATATATAAAATTATTATTATTTTTAGATTCTCAGCGGATTTATGGGTAAATTAAAAAAAAAAATCTTTCTTGAAATTGAATTACCATTTCATAATTCCATCGCCGTAGAACTTCTGTGATTTATCGGCAAAAAACTTGGTCAAGTGATTTTCAGCGGCTCTTCGGTCGGCCAATTTTTTACCATCAAGAGATTTTTGAAAAGACCAAAACAAATGAGGTCAGACGGTGCAAAGTTCGTTTGTGTGGCCTGGCATTGTCATGATGGAACACAACTCTATTTCTGTTGGCGGATTTTGTTCGCTCTTTCATAATGGGCAATCCCTTCTAATCCCAAGAAACAATCCACATAGCCTTTGTTTATTCGGTACAGGCTTTGAAGTCTTTTGTTATGGGTCATAGAGAGTGGACGCCTACTTTACTCAAAAAATTTTACACCTAATACTTATTCTCAATTGTCTTGTCTTGTGTAAACGTAAGGTTATACAACAGTTAGCTTTGTCGGACTCACTTGGGTCAGAAGTTGGGAGTTGGCCAACGTTAGTTGGTTTCGTCGATGCAAGGGTTGCCAACCTGGCGCTCTCTAAGCGAACACCCACAATCTACTCAACTGTCAGTTGCATCCTGCTGTGGAACGTACACAAAGTACCCATTCTCGCAGCGCTATTATTCCCGTAGTCAATGCATTTTTCATCGGCCGTAATGATTCGCTTACAAAATGGTTCGACAGTACTTCGTCTCAATTCTCATAAAGCGTTTTGGGATTGGGGACGAGAATTTCTTGAGCACAAGTAACAAGTTAATAAATTGTTTTAAAAAGGTTAGGTGGCTCTTTATGATGGCAGCTTCAGAGAAGTATACCGAAGAGACTAATGTGTTTGTGGTGTCTGTAAAACTAAGTACATACATAAATAAGTAAAAACCTGAGAACAAGCCTTACCCATCTATAATATATGTATACAAATTTTTATATGGAAAATGTTTGTCCCGCTTTAGCTGGCCAAGTACTGAACCGATTTTGATAATTATTCTTTTAAAATTAAACATTTGTGGAAAACAACTGAGTGGCATGCTTATTTTTTTATTCTTTGAAGATAAACTCTTTTTTGGGGGGTAAATTTACAACAAAAAAAAATACAAAGACATCAAAGCATGTGACGTTTTGGTCGCCAAATATAGCGCAAAGCGACCAGAAAAATTTGTGCGTCAGGGCCGATCAAAAAGCTCACAAACGCGAACGATAACTTTGCGAATGAGCGACGTGACTGCGCTGTACTACATACAGTGGTCGAACAAATTATAACCACACCACATTTGACAAGTCTTAAAATATTATTTGTTTTGTTTATTAATGTTGGTTATTTGTTTATGAAAATGTAGTTAATGCTTTAATTTTGAGCCCATTGAATTCTAGTAGAATAAAGTACAAGTTTCAAATGGGTAAAAATTACTGTTGATTTTTTAGAATTTTTTATCGAAGATATTACGGTTTCCTTCCATAAAAAAATTAAATGTGTATATTCGTTATAAGGAAGCAAATGGGAAAACAAATTTTTCTTTAAATCAACGGTATATAAAGTATAATATAGCTCTCTTCCAGCCTAATTCATCCGTTTCATGCGTTGAGAATCAATCCAAATTTTTAATAACCAATACCCAAATAAACTTGTGCACTAATCCACGTTGACACTATTTCAAGAAACATGTGTTCATTTCCCAATTTCTTCTTCTTCGATGTTGAGTATGTATAAAAAATTTTGCTATTTTATCAGCTGGTACTTGTTGGAGATTATGAAATATCTTAAAATTGTAATAAAGAGAGTAGCTACATTTTTTTCAAAAAAAAAAAATTTTTTTTTAATCCTCTTCCTCTAGAAAAATGAAGCTACACTCAAAGATAGTCGCCACGAAGATGGTTCGCGCAATCAAAATGGACGTCTCTATAAGGAGCGGGGCAGCGATGCGGACCAGCAAAACGGTAGTCAATCGCTTAGTCGGCGACAGAATACAATGTTTATGCTGGCGTTGGTGCTGCTGCTGTCACTTGCAACGACTGCAGCCACAACAACAACCACGACAACAATACGAACTGCCGCAGTTACAACGGTAAGAAGACGTAATTTAGGTAATTTATAGCTTCCACATGCGCATGCGCATACGTACTGCTATAATCAAAATAAATGCAAAGAAAGGAAATTAAGTAAATAATGAAGACATACAAATATATCTAGTATGTAGTAAAAGAAAATTAATTAGCGCGAGTCAATAAATAAATGTAATAATGAAAAATTCAATAAATTAATTAAATATGCAAACAAAAAATATTGGGATATAAAATGATATTAGCAGAAAGCAAATAAACAAATAACTGAGTTAAATGTTACCTCTCTAGCGAAATGTGTTTCTATGACAATGACTGTTGACTGTATTTTTTAGCAGCTGACATATGTATGTAGCCTAGGAGTTGCTTGGCGGCCTTTGAAGTTAAACATCCCAGCAAACTTTAAAGTGGAAAATAGTTTAGCTATGAAATATTTAGTATAAAAGAAAGAAAGAAAGAAAGAAAATGCTTTGTATAAGTATTTGTATTAGTTTACCGTTATGAATGTGTATGTAGATAAACCTTGCAGTGAAAGTATGAAATACGTATGTATGTATGCATAAGATAGCATTATAAACATAAATGCGCAAAACGCAACATAAAATAACAGTCCGCCAAAGCAGTTTAGTTTAGTTACGAGCGATTTGTTATGAAAAGTAAATACATACATACATATATGAAATTTGTGTTGTTTATTAGAAAAGCTTGAACAAATAGAATCAACGCCTCTCCCTGATATTGTAAATAATTTAGGTCTAAATAGGCAATATTCACTGTAAATATGTTCGCACGATTAGCTATAGGATAAATGCAGTCATAAGTATGCGAGTTGATTTGGGTTTTTGATGTAAAGTGTGGTTAATGTTAGCAGTTATCAAGTTTTGTTATAAAAGTCTGATAGTAGAAAATAATTTTACCTCTAGTTTTTTTTTCTTTTTCAAAGGTAAATAAGTTACGTCCAGCTGGAAATGCTAGCTGTTGTCAATAGTGATTATGGCACTTCTCAAGCGTGCACATTTATAAGCAAAATGAAAAAAAAATCATCATAGGCTAGGCAAACTCCCTTAGAACCGAGCAGGGACCAAAACGAATAAATGTTAAGCCCTTTATTTTTGGAACATTGCAAAATACATGTCTTTAAATTTTATTTTTATCAAATGTGCTGAGATAGGGCGTTTTTGAACCGAACTCTGAGTTAGGGCATTTTTCAATCAAATTCTGAAATAGGGCTTTGTTGAAAAATTTGTACTATTTATATGCCGTTCAGATACGTAAATATCTAATCTGATAACCAAGCGGCAATCTGGATTTTAGGTTGAATAACGGTGTGGTCAATCAATCCTGACTCTCTCGGTTACCTATCAGAGTACAGAAAAACCGCCATAGTGCCGGGCACTTCGAGGAAGATGTGGGGACTCTTTTTTAGCACTGTACAATATAGTTAGTTTTTTTTCAGGGTAACTTATGGAACCAAGTTTTTTTTAGGTTAGGATTGTATACAGATTGTATATAGAAAAGCAATTTCTCAGTTTTCCCAAGTTGGCGGGTTTAAGCGTGTTTTCTTCAATTTAAAGTTGGTGGTCACAGAGCAGCACTTAAAACAATTAAAAGTAGTTTAAATGCAAATATTTATACCATCAAAGGCCTCTGTAGGGGTTTTGGGGTCCGAGGAATCTGAATTTGTAATTTTCTTTTACCAAAAGGGACCGCTAGGGTATGCTACGATGCAAAAAGAAGCAAGGAGCATGAAGGAAAAGTGCAAACAATGTTTCAAAACAATGTTTCTTTATGTTTGTTTTCACCAAAGCGCAGCCAGTTGCCGTTCTTGGTAAAAATGAATTGCAGATTCGGATTCCTCCAACCTCAATTGAAAAAACCGCCTAAATTCGGCAACCTGAGAAAACTGAGTAATCACTTTCCAGACTTTCAGAAAAACTCTCGAATATTAGTTAGTTAGGCTTTCATAGGCATCGCAGTGAAGAGGCTAACAAAAATTTACTACATTTCCAACTGGATATGCAAACATTAAAAATTCGAATTAAAATCAGAACCTCCTTTGAATTACTTTGAAAGAGCATTTCATTATACATAAATTGAAATAAAAGTGAAATCAAAAGTAAGCTGCAGGAAGCAATTGCTAAAAATATAAAAACACATACGTATATTAAAAAATACCTACTTATGTATATGTACATATAAGCATATATTTAAGTTAAAAACACAGATAAATAAGATTAATAATTGTCTAAAGGGTAAAAACAAATCAACAAATTGCTACAAAATGTGCCAAATAGAAAAAGAAAAAATAGTAATAAATTAAGTACTCTAACTAGTTCACGAAAAAAATTATGAATAGATGGTAATTTTTTTAATTATTTTATGCGTGCAACATTTTTTCAATAACCTTTTATATTAATAAATTTCGCTTGCATTTTGGATTAAAAAGGTATGAAGATTAAAAATGCATTTTTATTTAGTGCTCAAACGCGAAAAAAGCAAAACAAAAAAACCGCAACTGAAGTAAGCCAAAGCGACTGAAAACACTCGATACCTACTCCCATACAAAACATAGATTAATTAAAGTTTTTGGTGAGATATGTAGTGCAAAATTTCAGTACAACTGTATGTGGAAATCAAGTTCTGGCCATACCATAAATGTGACGGTAAGTGGTAATAGTTGGGAGATGTATGGCACAGAAGAACATAGTTGGTATACAAGCAAATTTCTTCTGACTGGGAACTCTATAAAACTGACCTGAGAATCAAAATAGCGAAGAGGGTTTCATGGAGAAGGGTGTCCTTATACGCTCAGGTTTATATGCATACCAGAAGCCCCGCTTTTTTTGCTACATAAGAGGCAAGGCAGCAAAGTGGTCTATTGGCAGTGAAGAGCCACCAAAGCTTTTACTCAATGCCCACTTAGCTATAATCCATCATCTCTAGACGCCTGCGTCGGGCAAGGTACTATGGTTCCACTGCTTTCCCTGACCTGCTGGATAATCGTAACCTGGATTGGGAGATTAATTCGTTCAAATCTTCCAAATCCCAGGTGGCTTTATTGCGAAGACTAGACATAGATCTCATGAGCGCTGGAGAGACTGCTCAACATATTTACACTTAAAGTTACTAGTCTGTGAAGATTGCCCTCGATAAAATTATTAAGTGTACAGAGGTACTCGTAAAGACTTTGCAGAAGGGATCTTTTTCAATATCAGGAGAGCTTTTAACAATAACCTTGGAGTTGAAACCAACGGTGCAAGGCTGATCTTAATCTACAACAAGATCTGCAAAAGAACTCTAGCCGCAAGGTGGGCCAACACCTGCGTGTGGCGTAGGGTGAACAGAAGAACTCCATATCTGCTCTGCTAGAGGAGTTAGAGAAGCTAAGCTTAAAGGTACCCTTTTGACACGCTATACAATCTGACCCAATATTACCTAAACCAGATGAATAAATGGGCGACTAACAGATATTGGTATTTAAAGCTTATTATGGTTTGAGTTCTCATCTGGTGGGAGAACGTTTTCTGATATTGAAGGCAGGCAGCACAGACCGGAAAGCTGGATGTGTTACACGTTCAGCTTCTGGGCGATAACAAATTTTTAAATATTTCGATTGCATCCTTGATTGCATGGATCCTGTCGTATAGGAAAAAACCCCTAGCTAGCACTTTCCCTACACAAATTCCCTTACGGCATGGCGAGTTGGCGAAAAAACGTACCTTTGAAACGCCATCAACGGGCATGTAGCAAGTGACAGCCCCGCTCACCACCTATGTGTCACTCTTGGACAGATGAGATATCTTATCCTAACATAACTGAACGCAATTAAACAATAATTTGGAGGAAAAAAACGGTGTTACGTGAAATCCTATATTAGGGGGATTCAAAAAGACCATTATTTCATGCGCTGTTTGGCAAGTGGCACTGTCCTGTTTAAACCACATATTGCCCAAGTCGATGTCATAAAAAGTTAGTTATCACGTCACGACAACATCCGTTCGCCGGCATTAGTTCAGAAGAAGTTCGACCCGATGCATCGGGTCATCGCAATGACCCCACCAACCCAAAAACCACGCCAAACGGCGACTCGCTCCGTGACTAAGAAAAAAAATTCTTCTTATTTACGTTAAAAACAGGGAAATACTAATATAGTGTAGCCTATCTAAAATTTTCACAAATCTAATTTAATTACAGCCAATTTCATGAAAGCAATTTATGTAAGTAAATAAATTTTTTTTAATTTTTTTACTTTCATATGGAAATTGACAGAAAATAAAAAAATCATTTTCTTATTTAAATGGCTGGTGAAACCGGCTGTTATCCTCACATTTATGTGTATGATTAATTTTTTGATTTTCTCGCAATTCGTTATACAGTAAACAAAAAGCAAAAAGTTTTCATTAAAAACAACTTCAATTTCATGGTCATACAAAAATTTAAATTAAAATTCCAAAATGCAAAACGTGTGCGAATTTGTTGTGTATGTGTATGAAAATTCACTGGTAATTAGTTGGAAACAACATCACACCTGCACAGGCACACGGTTAGATATGCGTGACATGGTGAACTAGACCTAATCGGGAATAAACAATTTGTGTGAAATAATGCATAAAATTTATTTAATGAAAATGTTTGTTGGACAAAATAATTATTATTACGAAATTAACAAAATAATAAAATAACGATAGTAATAAACAAATAATTACATATTAAATATTGGTCGCGACGGCATGTTTATTGCGTGTGGCAGAAGAAGAGCAAAAAATAAAAGGCCTAAAAAAATTATCTAAAATACAAAAACAGCATAAGTCAGTGTGTGTATATGCATACAAAAAAAGCAAACAAAAAACAACAAAAAATATAAAAACCACAAATATTATGAGATACATATTGCATGTATATTCAAATGCTGCGCTGACAACAAAATATTTGCATAAAATATTCATGAAAAAATATTATTGCTGACTGAAAACCATCGAAAGTGCAATGGATTTCGTTTTCATATTAAAAATAAAATAAGCAAAAAATTCAAAATAAAACAAAATTTGGCATACAAATCCATTCGTGCAGTGCATCACACAATATAACGTAACAGGTTGAATCCCAGCAGTAAAATGGGCAACTAGGAATAGATATGTGCCGGCAGTGTTGCCAGAAAATTTTTGTTAA